TATGCGGTAATAGTTATTTACCTAACAAATGCAGAAAGTGATACTTTACCGCACGCAACGGCAGTTGACGGAACGACGCGAAGCGGAGTTCGGTCAAGCCCTTAAGGGCAGTAAAGGCACTTTCCGCATGTGTTAGGTACAAAATTTCACCTATGAACATCTCCAAAAAAAGGCATTACTAAAATTAATTAATGAATCAGATTAATTAATGAAATTAGATTAGATTTAGAAATGATCAAAAATCCATTTTCTGAAAAAAAAAAGGATTTTTCATCATAAATACCAAAATCTACTTTACCGCATACTATGCGGTAAAGTTAACTTTACCGCACACTTGCAGTCCACTTTACCGCATACTATGCGATTATAGTTATTTACCTAACAAATGCGAAAAGTGATACTTTACCGCACGCAACGGCAGTTGACCGAACGACGCGAAGCGGAGTTCGGTCAAGCCGTTAAGGGCGGTAAAGGCACTTTCCGCATGTGTTAGGTACAAAATTTTACCTATGAGCATCTACAACTCCAAAAAAAAGGCATTGATCAAATTAATTAATGGTTCAGATTAATTAATTAAATTAGATAAAATTTAGAAATGATCAAAAATCCATTTTCTGAAAAAAAGAGGATTTTTGAATATAAATATCAAATTCTACTTTACCGCACACTATGTGGTAAAGTGCACTTTACCGCACACTTTGTGTTCTACTTTACCGCATACTATGCTGTAAAGTTGACTTTACCGCACACTATGCGGTAAAGTGCACTTTACCGCATAGTGTGCGGTAAAGTGATACTTTCCAATTGCAAATACGTGCGGTAAAGTGCACTCTACCGCACGGCATGCGATAATATTATTACCGCACGCTCTATCCACATAGGTACGTAATACCTTCAATCGCCTACCAAAGATATATTACCTATACCTATCACCTAAATTCTACTTGTTCACTGTCAAAAGTGAAAGGCTCTTTTTTTTCATCATTCTTTAAGCTTCTTTTAGATATTTTGTTACCGCATGATTGTAGATAAAATACTGTATAATAGGTATGGTAATTAGGCTATTACCGCCCTTAGAGATTGCAAATTTCTCTCGCGTGCGGTAATTACCTAGTTACCACACCTATTAATTATATTAAATAATGTACTTAATATTACCATTTCACCTAGATTTTTTTTATAGGAAATCGTCAATTTTTACGTTCAGTAGATAAACGTAATCTTTTACGTGTTTAACAAAAAAATTATATTGGTAAAAAATGTTAGTATTTTAACATAGAAATGTGAGAAGTATTTTATATTCCAATCTTTTTTTTTTTGAGAGGCGAGATAATTTTCAGAATTACTTTTTTCTATAAAAAATTACTTTTCATTATTCTGTGATTCATCATCTATCATCCCACCAAATTTCATTGATTTTGATCCAATTCTTTGGACGTAAATCAAAAAATAGTTTAACCCGTCGCACAGAGGTACCCAGGCCTCTTAAGTACATTATTTAATATAATTAATAGGTGTGGTAACTAGGTAATTACCGCACGCGAGAGAAATTTGCAATCTCTAAGGGCGGTAATAGCCTAATTACCATACCTATTATACAGTATTTTATCTACAATCATGCGGTAACAAAATATCTAAAAGAAGCTTAAAGAATGATGAAAAAAATGAGCCTTTCACTTTTGACAGTGAACAAGTAGAATTTAGGTGATAGGTATAGGTAATATATCTTTGGTAGGCGATTGAAGGTATTACGTACCTATGTGGATAGAGCGTGCGGTAATAATATTATCGCATGCCGTGCGGTAGAGTGCACTTCACCGCACTCATTTGCGTGTCGTAGGGAGCCTACTCAGTGCTGAAATAGTATATTACATACCGAGGTGGAAAGGGTTTCATTACTGTCGAGAGATTTAAGTTAGACCGAGGCGCAGCCGAGGTCTAACTGAAATCTCGAGACAGTAATGAAACTTTTCACCGAGGTATGTATACTATTTTATTTACAATCATTCGAATTTTGAAATTTTCATTTGGATTAAAACTAAAAAATACAATAATTAACAATTTCATTTACTTTCGACCCGTGGGCCGAAAGTAAAAGTCAAAAAATACAATAAATTTTAAAAATTTCATTTACTTTCGGCCCACGGGTCGAAAGTAA